TGATTGTATGAATTATAATTTATTGAGCTGATAGCGACTAATGAGGTTCACTATCCATCCAATTTTGTTGCGGCATTTCATACTAACAACACTTTAGTCATTTAAAAAAATACGAAAACTATGTGCCAATTGAACTGTGCCTTCAACTTTAGAGTCGCCAAAAAAAATAATGCTAGTGTGATTTAAAGAGGTAGATAACGAGTTTTTAACTCCAACCAAATTACTTATTAGCATTATCAGACTACGCCCATCCACTCCAGATGTGTAGGGTTCCTGTGGTTATGTATTCGCTAAAAGGCCTGGTAATGCTACTCATACTCTTTCTACAAGACACTATTCAAGTATGTTGTTCTTCAAATAACCAAAAGTTGGTAAGTTTTAGCTCTGTATTATGTAATATATACGAATTTACTTTTAAAGGATATCAGTTTCATTTATTTTAACCTATTCCAGTTATTTTATTAAGAATKATTCAGACAGTTAAATGAACTTTTCCAAACACTCTTTATCCCATTTTTCTGTTTTCATTACCTTTCCAATTCATAAATACAAGACCTACACTTTCTGTTTAATCTTACCATCATCTTCCTGGCAAAAGGATGGAGGTTTCCTTGTGTTTACAGTCTGTACTAGTTTTTGGTTTCCAAACATTCTGTTTAAATGACAAAAAGATTTGAATGTGCTATTTCATGGTGCGAAAATAGTACATTGTGAATGAACATTTTGAATGTACAAATGGTTTCAATATTTCTTTAATTTTTGCTTTAAATAATTATGTCAAGAATYTAAATCTCACTTACGCTGCCATTTTCTCTTTCTTTCTGCGTTTAAACTTTTCAATTGATCTGATTAACTTTCTGTTTAGAAGTACAAAGAATTGCTATTAATAATAATCTAATAATGTGTGCTGTCTACCCCTCATCTTATACCCTTCTCAGATCTTCCCTAACCCTTAACAGAAACTATAATCCTTCTCCAGGATGGGGGAAGTATAAATATTTTCTGGAATTGTGTAGTTCCAAAAATTATCCATACCCCCTCACGGAGGAATTTTTTTAAGACACCCCCCTACCCCCCCAGAAATTCCATTTCTTCCATACAAACTCTGTAATTTTTGTTCTTTGTCTGACCCCCCTACTCTTTGGAAATTCCAAATTCCTCTGTGGGGTGGGTATGGATGATTTCTGGAAAGTTGTACACATTATATGATATCTGCTTCTCAGACCCTTTCCTCCCCTTGGGAATTTATGATTTGACCCTTTCTATGATTTAAATGTCATCATAAAATAACTGCTCGAAATCTCGCATTTTGATTGGTTGGGAGAGCGTGCTTTATGAGAGCACACAGCACGCTCGTGCACTATCAGTTTCATCATTTATGTAATTTGTATTTTATAAAAGAAATAAAAAACTTGCCTGCTGTGCCGTGTGCAGTTATAAAGCACTTGGGGATTGGCAGAACACTCGAGAAGTGTCCAGAAGCACTCCGCCTCGCGTCATGCTTCTCTTAACACGGGTTCTCTCGGGTTCTGTCAACCCCCACGTGCTTTATAACTGCACACAGCACACGCACGCATTTACTATTTCTTCATGTGAAAACATCATAAGTAATTTCTACTTCATACTTTTTACTGTCATTTGAAACATGATGTAGGGCCTTGATTTCTAATTCTGAGAGGTTCTGTGAAAGAAGATAAAATATTAATCTTGACAATTATTGTCAGGGTAAAAATGATGCTTCATAAGATTAACACTTTGTCTATAAAGAATTATGAGAAAATATATATAATAGTCATGCACATGTATTGAGCCAGGATAGCTGGACACATACGGCATAGACTAAAGAGAYTTTAGAAAACAAGGGGTTTTGACCCAAGAAAAACTCCCATATCTCGCCTCTACAGGGATGTTCTGCTATCATCATCATCATCATCAACATTGACCCAAGAAAAACTCCCATATCTCGCCTCTACAGGGATGTTCTGCTGGATAGGGTATGGTTTCTCTGGATAACTGTCGTTTCGGACGCCAGTCTGGCATTGGAGACAGAAAACACAGTGCAGTTCCTTCAGAGGGCATTGAGGGTTGTGTAGCGGTATTGCGCTCGCCTTTAACCTCTGAAGTCTCTGGTTTGATTCCTTGAATCAGACTCACATGTGAGAAGTAGAGTAGTGCTCTCCCTTGATTCRGAGGGTTTTTCTCCGAATTTATCGACTCTCCTCCCTCCGCACATGACCCAAAATTTAGTTCATTTAGTGACATTTATTTGATTTTTGATATAGGTTAGCAGTATTTAATTTCTTATACGTATAGATTATTCAATTTGGCTAATTTTGTCAAAACTACCAATCGGTTTTTAGTGTATAACTTTCAACTGTACCAGCATTATACATGGTGTATAATTCCTCTTAGCCATTAGRTAGGATTGACAGAAATAATTATTAGAGCTATGTCTTGAATAGGGTATGATTTTTCAACACATTGTTATCTTAGATAGTGTCAGCATTTTCAGATCCCAGCAGCACATCCCTATCGCTGGACCAGTGATCCCTAGTACACCCCCTCCCCCTCTCCCAGGACTTTTGGAGGCTTTATACCATCCTTACCCCACTCCCCCTCTGTCCTTTTTGAAGAAACTTCAACTTCAACTTGTTTATAGGACTAGTTTAATATAAAACAGTAAATGGAGTAAGTAAAAGAAATGATAGCATTACCACTAGTGAACGTCCATTCATTTTTCTTGTAGTGAAGGGTTTTATGCAGTCATTCATCTCTTCCTATATTAACAACAACAAYAACATGATCAAATCACACAAAAAATTAACAGCATATCATTCTACATGACAATGTACGATACAGTGCGATCACATGTGAGTAGAGTATGTTAGATCTTGTCCTTCATTCAAGGCTTCCCTGCTAGCAGAATCTCTTTTTCTTTTTCTTTTGCTGATTTGGCTTTCGCTAGAAAAAGGAGACTGTTACTTTTTCKGTTGCACATGCATGAGCGTTACTAGGCAACTAATGAGATCATGTGACAGATGGCATTTTGACGAGGGCATTTTCATGCCACAATGCTGCAAGCTGCTGCACCTAATGTCTCTACAATTAATAGTCAGCTGTTACCATAAAAGAATATGCTCACTAGTATTGTGGAATCAAAAAYCTTACAGCAGACTTTTCRGTTRTCATGCRAAGAGGTGTTCAATTTAAAAAAMCAGTTTCAAAACCATTTTTTGTCCACAACCATGGGCGGCGATTAGATCAAATAATCTAACGGATTGGGGCAGAGGCTTTATTTTTCCTCCCTCTCCCAAAAAACAAAGGAGAGAAAAAAAGGAGCCTCTGCCAGCAAAGAAGGTTACCTACAGGCTCCAGTTTTCTTTTCAGTCCAGAGGTTRCTTAAGGGTATTGATAAAAATTGAAGATTATCTGTATCATTGGAATAATTAGCAATTATTCGCCAAAAGCGAAGTGAATATCAGGGAATGTTTACCGAGAYGCGAGTCTTTGAGCGGCAAGGTAAATATTCTCCACATTCACTGAGCCTGAGGTGAATAATTGTTTTAGCATATACCAACTTGTGTACAGAGTAACTTATTTCTATATACAATAATTCAATAAAAACAAACAGACAGAAACTTTTAGTTTGCGTGACAAATTCACGCAAAACTTTTAGCAAAACTTTTAGCAAAMCTTTTAGGCYATACTTCGTTGCCTTTTTAGTATTRATAGGAATGGCATTTACTTTCATTTTTCAATTTCTTCATCGGAAATATTAGCAAAACGATTGCCGGCAGATGCCATTTTGTTGCCGACTCTATATATTCTGAGATTCAGAGGTGAATCGTACAAATTCACCTCCAATTAACCAATGAGCGTGCACGTTCTTAGGAAGTACACAAGTTGGCATATGCTAAAGGAGATTATTCGCAATATCATTAAACTGTTTTATGAATATTTACTGGCATGAATAATTTCAATTAGAATAATTTAAATAGCTAATAAACCTATAATTTAATATTTTGTTTTGCAACTTTGGCTTTAAAAACAATGCAAAAAACAAACAATCCCAATAGAGAATGACAGGGATCGCGCGAGAGAGCTAGCAGTATTCAATGTTTTTTTCTAGTTATGCCAAATTAACTTATTGCATACTCGAATGGCTTCGTATAAATTACTTCTCAATGTGAATTGTTAGCTCAGGCACTTCCTGCCTTCACATTTCTTCCTCTTATCGTGTTAAAAACGACTTAAAACTTAATAAAACTAAGATTGCTTTAAATATTTATTTTATTCCAAGAATGATCGAGTGTTGTTGGATCGAATAAAGTATTCGCATGTTACGGAATGTTATTTAATCCGCTATCAGTGTCTTGGGTAACCACAAACTATCAAGCATTTACGAAATCCAACTCCGGATTCCAAGTAATTCGTTAAGATAGAAATCCAATCAAGGGCAAACCTGAAATTAGGGGAATTCGTCCTTATTGAAATCTTTGAAATCTTCCCAGACAGTACAGCACAGTAGAAACCATTTATTATTCATTTACAAGTACATAACAAAGATTAGTTCAAATGTTTTGAGACAAGTTCTTCCCGGGATTGATTGGCATTAACTTTATTACTGCAAACCAAAATACCAACTCCTTTAACTCCGATTGATTCCCTAATATTTAGAGTAAAGTTTGAGCGACTGTTACTTAGATTTTGATTTAGTTTAAGACRGAATTTTTGAGCACAGAGTTTAAAGAAAATATGTTTACTCGCCTGTTGCAGCCATTCCACAAGTTGATCGGTCTGCCACTCAAGAACATCATCCCCAAGCTTCGCCATGGCTTAAAGAATAATTCACCAAGTCTCTGAGGTGAGTAATTTATGAATCATTAATAATACACGATAGCCTAGTCAAGGCAGAGCATCAGCATCAGTATCAGTCTATTACGTATCTCGTTCAATGCTGATTKAACGCACGACCCGGAAGAAGAAATGTAACGATTGATCATTAACATAATTAGTTGTCACCAGGGTGGGGACGGTAGACCGTAACTATGCAAAGGCTATGTTTTTAAAGTTCGTTAAAAGAAATAAATATATTTGTGTCCTATTATGAGCTGTTTAAGAATTTAAAAATGATGATAATTTCAATAAAATTTAGAAAATAGAAAAAATAAAATTTTAAAAAAGTAACAAATTTCATGAGCAAAAGAACCAAAGTAGTCGTTCTCCGGTTCCCATGGATATAGAGCTGTTACAGACTCTCACGGAAATTATCAGACGTCCTCCTCTAGAGGCTTATGTAAGATCTAAAGGAAAAAGTAACTAATACGACTTGGCTGGAACAGGATAGGACTGATTATAGAACGTGTTTTCCTTGATATATGACTATTCCTGTTTTAACCAAAAAAAAAAAATCAATGAAGGGGTGGGGAGGGAGGGGGTGCAATGCCATTCTTAATGATGAAGTAGGTATTTCGAYCCAGCACTTTACACGCGATCCGCAACACGGGACTAAACACAAGTCTTAAGCTAAGAAAATCTTCATTCGATTATGTAAAAATCTCTTTATTGTCTTTTATATGCCTTTAAAATCATTSAAATTTACAACCAAAATAAATATTTTGTAATAACTATGTACATGTGTGTACTTTCGAATATCTGTCGATTTTGTTATTTTTAGACCATTGCATAAATAATCTCATTAATCCTAGCTTATTTCATTTCTTTTAATTTTCATGATAACCGACGAAATCCACCCCCCCCTCCCCCCACAAAAAACACGATTGAAAATCTGGATCAAGTTTACTATAGATTGATACAATGACTCTTTATACGACCCCAAAGGTGTGGATACAGGGTGGAACATTGCGCGCAATATTGTAGGCAGTGCTCCTGAATAAGGATCATTTTCTTCGGCAACATTGCCTGCAAAATGCGTCATGTGACATGGCTAGCAACATCGATTGCCTGCAACATTCCGCTCCATGTTGCACCKCGTGTCCGTAACTTTAACCCCGTCAATATTTAAGTAATCCTGAACATTGATATACAAAAAATATTTTGTCAACAAGAAAAACCTATTTTKGTCGATGTCGCAGCACGTCATGATAGCTGTAGTACTTATCAGGTGGCTGAGCTTTACAGAATCAAAGCCAATAGATAACATTGGTAAAGATCGTAGTATTACTCAGCTGAAGGGTTATGGCGCGCGCTTATAGTAGCATGGCAGGTCTACACAGACACATCCTGTGATGACAGAAACTTCACTTCTTGTGGAAGACTTCTTGTGGCTCATCTATACAGTAACAGGAGCCTCTGGTTCATAGAYGTCATGTTCACTGAAATCTTCTGACGAGAGTAGTTTCATTTCCTCTGACAGACGATATCTCTGGATAACTCGTTCTTGGTCACGTATCTTGCTTGCGAGCATTTTGGTTGCCATTTTCTGATGTGCAAGTGCTTCCATTTTGTCACTCAGCTAAGTAGGGGGAAAACAGAAAATAAGAAGCTTTTAACATCAGCAGCAGCAGCAACAGAATGAACATCATCGTGAGCAACATCAACGACATCTTCATTGTCATCGGGACAACTATCATCATCACCAACAATACTAGTACCACTAGTATCAGCAGCAACAGGATCAACATCAYCTTCAGCAACATCATCATCATCTTCATCGTCAGTACAACCATCATTCTTCAGCAGCAACATGCTACATCCTTATCATCATCCTCATCGCCACCTGCATCGTCTTCAGCGACACCTTCACTCATTACAGCAACATCACCATTACCTATTACAGCCGCAACATCATGACCATCAACATCAACACCACCGACATCGTCATCGTCGCCAGAATCAATATCACCACCTAAGTCATCATCATCATCACCATAACACTAACCATGTCCACCAATCTTTGAATATAAGTCTGTCATCATCATCATCATCAACATAATACTAACCATGTCCACCAATCTTTGAACAAGTCTGTCATCATCATCATCAACATCATCATCATCAACATAACACTAACCATGTCCACCAATCTTTGAATAAGTCTGTCATCATCATCATCATCATCATCAACATAACACTAACCATGTCCACCAATCTTTGAACAAGTCTGTCATCACGTGTTCTCATTAACTTTATGAATTCCTCCTCGTTGCTGTCCATCGAGTTGGATTTTGATTCGAGTTGTTTCTTTTTCGGTAGCAACAGTGTTTTACTCCATGGCATAGACTTGTGCAATAATTCATTGATAATGGACGAGTTCTTGTTTAGTTGTTGGTCAAAAGCCATTCGATACGCGTCAGCAGTAAGGCGAGCTTCATCTTCGCTATCACGAGACACTTCCAACTATACAAACAACAAGATATCAAAAAGYGTTGTACGGAAAACGCGACACAATTCTTATGGAGAAAATGGAACACTTATTGATTGATAAGAATAAAYTTACTAAATTTGCAAATCAGTGATAAAACGGAAAACTACTGCTAAAGGAAACGTATCTGAGAAAGCCACGGAGAGTGGATGGAACGTGAAATTCCCAATCATYACTTTGGATTCAAACCAGCTTCAAATAACATGTAAGTAGAGATCCTTAAGTCTCTACCTTGATACGAGGATTTTTACTCAGGTTTCTCCAGTTTACCTCCTTCTGCAAAGCCTAAAACGCTATATTCCAATTCGATATATAAWGTGAGCTAGTCTTGCCTTGACTTTCATCAGCCCAGAGGTCGTTTCAGGGTTCGACCTGTGAATAAGCTATGCCCTGACTTAGATAGCCCAGAGCTTGTTTCAAAGTTCAATCTGTAACTTAGCCGTGCTCTGACGTTGTTCAGCCCAGAGGTTGTTTCGGAGTACCGATAACATTTAAAGGTTTTGTCTTGAAGGTAGTCAAAGTTGAGAGGATTTCACACACTTCTTAGTTTAGCGGCTATCAAACAACTAGTTTACTCACCTGCTTTTTCAGTCTTGCAAACTCTCTCTTGGCTTCTACAGCAGCTCTTGCACATCCACAAGGCTCCTGGTTGTGACCTCGGCACTGACATGCACCAAGAGTTGCCAGCTATTAGGAAATAAATGTGTTAATAATTGTCTTAAGTTCCCAAGAACTAGAGCTGTTTTCAGATGATTCATATTTTATCTCTTTTTTTTTATTATTTTATTTTATTTTTTTTATTTAAGTGCGTTTTCTTGGAGATTTTCTAAGATTCTTTTTTGTATTTGTACTTCATTACTGTACATATGTACATAAGTACCTCAACAATAATTTCTTCACTTGAAAACGGTCCTTGTTCGTTTGGTGTCTCTGACTCCCCTGTGATTCTGTCTTTGACCTCTAGCGCTGCAGCCAGTTCATCACGCTCACGTATCAATGCTAAAAAGAAAACATTATTTCAATCATATCATATTTCATCTTTCAACGTAGGAGTTTTTAAGCACCTCAGTGACCATAAAGATGAAAGAATGGATTTGTCCATARCCCTACAGCTTAATTATTTATTCTTTGGGTTTACTTTAAGATATGGAATCCTCCATGTTTAAGAAATGTGTGCAGGAAGTGACAAGCAATACATTGGTGGTTGCCCTTACGTTGCATGTGATTGTGCCTGCACTCTTAGTGATACAAACCTATCCTATCAAGTGCMAGCTTCCTGAGTTCATCAGATCTTGCATGCAGTGCAACAAGAAGAGCTGCATTTTCTGTTGCCACCCGGTCAAACCTTTGTGCCCATGTTTGTTCACTGTCCATAAGGTAACTCTGTTTTAATTCCAACTCCCATTGTAGCAAGTTAACATCCTATTTACMCGATAACAAGTAGAATAGYCCATTATTATAGCAAGTTAACATCCTATTTACAAATAACCAAGTACCCCAAGTAGCATGGTCCATTATTATAGCAAGTTAACATCCTATTCAGACAATAACAAGTACAGTTAACAATATATTGATAATTATCTATTGACATCATTTCTGGTCTGGTATGGAATTTTTACTAGCTGAGTCGCAAGTTCCAATATAGCAACGTAGTTTAAGCAAGGAAGGCATTGTTTGCCCTCCATTGAAGGTAGTAATCAGATTCATAAGGTTCATTCAGCCAGTTGATAACAAGCAATAGAATACTAGCACATGATGGGCAGTGTTTGCCTGTCATTGTAGATGGGTAACGAGATTCATGAGATTTATTCAGATAATATTGGTAATATCTAACTATGATCAACAAACTGATGCTATAGTTTGTAGTTTAGAAAATATTTCCATAATCCCTTGAAGGGGAATGACTTTATTAGGACTTACTTGTTCGAGCTGTTTGCTTGCTTCAAGGGCYTTCTTTGTCATCTTTCTATTCTGTGCTTGTTCAAGCCGAGACCGCATGTGGATTTCTTTCATAGCACCATATTTGTTAATCAGTTCTTTCTGGCAAAGCTCAAGGTTTTTGCTGAGCACTGATATTTCCTGCATCAAGAAAATAGAAAATATTTATTTTCTCTTTCTAATTTAATTATTTCATGAGAATTTATTATCACTATCACCACCATCATCAACATCATCACCAACATCCCTATCTTCACCAAAATCATCACGAGTGATCTGACACCTTTATTACTTTTACCTTTTGAAACTACTTTCACCACCACCAACATACGAACATCATCATCACCAATACTCCCACTACCAGCAACATCATCATCCATCATCATCAACGTCTAGACATGAAACCTTTAAATATTAATGATACCCTGAAACAGCCTCTGATCTGATCAAAGTCAGGGAATCATCTTCCTCATAATAATTCTCTTCAACAGAATCAACACTTTTATTATCAAAAATATAATAAGCAATAGCAGCACCCCCTTTCATCTCACCATCTTTAAGACTACATCATACACATCATCATCATCATTCTATCATCAACATCATGATTATYACCATCACCACCACAACCACCACCATCAACATCATCATTACCACCACCATCATCATCATCGCCACCACTACCATCATCATCACCTCAATCATCATCATTACCTCCACCAACACCATCATCATCACTACCATCAACATCATCATCATCACTAACACCACCACCACCATCATTCTATCACCATCATTCTATCAACAGCATTGTTCTACCTCTTTTGCCTTCTGTAGTTTATTCTGTAAATGTTTATAATCATGATCTTGAAAATAGTTCCATGTTTTCTCTGGAAAAAAAGAAAATACACTTCACATTCACTGATGTATGAGATTAAATAGCAAACGCAACAAATATTCCTGTGAATCGTGCACAAATATAGACACTATAAACTATTTAATATATTTATATAACATAGCAATAATAATACTAAAAATAAAAAATAAAACAAGTTGAGTGTTTGGGACTTTGATTTTTTTATGCTTATAATTTTATTTAAATTTATCAAACCATAGCTGTACATGTAGCGAATTAGCATTTTTTTCGTAATAAGAATAAATTTAAAGTTGCCTTCTTAAAAGAGGCAATATTTTTWAAAGTAAACAAGTATCTCTAGAATATACCTGAAGGTATATTTTTGTTTTGTCACTCCTACTTTAATCTTCAGGGTACCAGAAATAAAACAACTAAACTTTCTTTCTCGATATCAAACTATTTTAGAAAACGACAAAACATTCTCTTACCACGAACTGACATGGTTCTTCGTAAGGTGTCTTTATTTCCTTTACTAACATCATCCAATGCACTATCACTGTTTCTTCTTCGTCTTCCTTTCCAACTGTGGCCGGATGTTTGACATTTCTTACAGGAAGAATGAATAGTGCCACCAGCAGCAATCTTACCTTGGACGTTTTCTTTTTTCTTTAGCGAATCTCGACTCCGTGAAGTAATTTTTTCGATTAAGTTTGAGAAAGACCACGAACTCAACCGAGAGAGGATATCTTTAACAGCTTGTTCCTCGTGTATAAATGGTTTTTCTGTAGTATCAGGGCTTGGTGTACTGGGTAAAGATTGTGGTGTTTTGACCGTGTTTTCAAGTCCTTCATCAGCTGATTTGACGGGAAGTGGCGGCAAACCACCCGGTTTGAAGCCAAATCCAAGCCCCAAATCATCCGATTCTATAAAATCCCCGTCATCCAGAACATCACATGCTTCCATAAAGACTAATCTACCAGATCGCACAGGTAGTTAACGAGTATTTTGGAAGATAATACAAGATCATTCACAATCAAAATATTGTTTGTCCGCCATATTTGTTTGGAAATGGGCTTAGTAACCGTTCCTTACGATGACTTGCGCGTTCGCGTTACTCTCGTCATTATCTTCAATAAATTATCAATTTATTAATTATTAAAATATCTAAATATTTATTAATATACCAAAATCCCCTTAAATATTCCATTTTCCATTTTTCCATTAATATATCTAAATATGATTTAACTTGATATTTGCTTTATTCAGAAACCCATCCATTCAAAAGAAATGAAAAAGAAGTCCAGTAGAACCGAGGAGAAGAGAAATCCATGCTAACGTGGAGGTGAAGGTGAGCCTGCCGATTTTGAACACACATTGTCTATCTTTGGCGTAAGCCGTAAACATCATGAGTTGAGCGCGTTCCTTGAAGAGATGACCTTCGCTAGTCCAGTAATCTGATGTAGTTTTGTTAATACGTGAGTAGAGTCCTGTTAAGCAAAATACACAAACACATAGCTTTACAAAGTGTCTAAAAAGCATGTTAAGGTAGCGCAAGGTATCATCAAAAATCATCAAAAGACGCGCGCAGATAGGAAATGTTTTAATATTTAGAATTTCAAATGCTTAGTTTATAGAAATGACAGGAAATGGTGACGGAGTTAGCATTGCCATTTAGCAATAAAGCCGCGGGTTACATGGCAAAACAACAGAAATTTTATCCTTTGGAAATGAAATATCTTTTTGTTTTCTACCCTACAACCAATATGGCTGCCGTAAGGTCCTCCTCAAATTTTCTTTTTAATTTTTCTAATTTTTCTTTTTCTTGTATAAACAAAATTTATAATTGGATAAGCATATTGCCATAATCTTTACCTCCACACGTGTCTGTGATGTAGGCCGCACAGCAACACGGGAACAAAAACATATAAATATGCGTCACCAGAAACACGCTTACGTAAGCAAGTTTAAATGGATCTCTTGAATAGGTGAATTCCTCCGAGATATAAATGACTCCGATCAGACACGTCGCACCATAGAAAAACCAGTGCATRACGAACCAGGGACAGTAGGCTGATACRGTATCTGAAACRATTGCACAYAGTTCTTCGTGGTATCGCACGACAATATCAAAGTTATTTTGGTTTGAATTTTGTCCCACGTTGGTAGTAAGGGTTGATCCGTAACTTACAGGGGTTAATCTTTCAATTTTTTCTGCTTCATTTGTTTGTCCACGTGGGTCTTCACTTTGATTCCTTTCCAAGTCTCGTTCTGCTGTTGGCACCTCAAGGTTGGCCTGTCGTGGTTCTGTCCCACCCAAAGGGACCCCTCAACCTTCTTCATCTTGCCTTCCAGAATTTCCAGTTGCAGCATCATTTGGCCTCAATTGCTGTGGAATTTTTATTTCCATTTGTCGTATTCTTCGTATTGTATCATCTGCCAAGGTTCCTATTGGGTGTGATTGAATAATTTACAGTCGTCATATTCCTTAAATCAAATACTACTTAGACAGTACAACGTCATTATGTCAGCCCGCTCTCATATAATTTGCACTTTTTTTAAAGACTTCCGTATTCACAAATTTATTTTCAATCCTGGTTTTTCAATCGACACAAACACAAGTGCATGAAGGAGTCGGGCTGAGCATCCTCGTCCTGCGCTTCCCCTCACGTGATCCCATTTTGTTCCCTGTGAACCACAGCAGACTGACATAATTAGAAATTATTTCAAACATAAAAAAAAGAAAAAAGAATAAAGAATAAAGAACACAGAATACAAGAGATTATTATCACATACACCCTGGTATTTGCGGTGGAAGATTGAAGGGAGCAAGAGTGGAGTAGCGATAGTCCACTCGACTCTCACTAATGGGGTCTCGGGGTCGACTCCTCTAGTCGACTTGCGATCACATGTGCATCACATGTCAGTAGAGTTTGTAAGGTATCTCCCTTGWTTSKARGGKTTTTTATCRGGTTCTTCAGTTTTCTTCCCTCCACAGGCTACCCAGCTAAATYTTAAYTCGATCTGTGAGTYAGTCACGCCTTGTCGTTTTACTTACCCAGGGCAAGAGAAGAAATGGCAAAGACGTGACAGCCAAYAATAGCAGCCCACTRMGCTATAAACTGTRCAGCAACACCAAGAATCATCAGGTAAAAATACCATCCATCCTTGGGCTGATCGCGAACCAAATAATAAAACAATCCAACAGCTGACAAGAACAGCACTGTTAAAATAAACTGTGATAAAAAGATCAACATGACCTGTATGTTTGATAAGTCATCGTGTAATGCATCTGATGGCCCGATGGCTTTGTTACCGTACTTCCGTTTTCGCCTCATKAGCATCAACGAAATCAGTAATAAAGTGTACGAAAACAGGCCTCCAATGGATGCCAATGTGTATACAGTATTAGAAGTCTTGCGGAAAGACGAGTGATGAGCCGAGGCATTGGCTGGRAGTTKATCTTTTTCCAGTCGTTTTTCAAGAAATCCGCAGTCAAATGCTGGACATCCACAGACGACAAACAAATCATACACGAGCTGGAAAACACAAATTAGCGCCAAGAAAAAGCTGAAGATTAATCCCCAGCCAGTAGGTTTCCACAGACACAGTGWTGCACAAACACACTGTAATATTTTCTTGGCTTTTTTGTGTTTACCGAAGTGTTCATTGGTACGTTGTTGCCGGAAGTCKCTTTGAGGTGAACGAGTAAGTGGATTGTTTTCAGTTGGAGATTCACTACTCTCTCTGCCTAAACAACAACCCATTTCTAGTGGAACAGATTGAGCTCAAGACAAATCTGGTTACAAAAGTCCAATTTAATAATGAGAGCGATTTTGCTCGGGATTGTGATATTTATAACGACYCCATCATGTGACTTCTTGCTCGGTTTCTCAGAATTTCACCTTCACCACAGGGAGTCCACATGTTTTGTAAAAGTTATTAGCTTCCTGTCCTTGACTTTAATAACATTTTACTTCCGGTTTCAGTCACAAGGGCYTTCAGTTGCAAGAGTTTATTTAGATATTAAACTAACTATTAAATCTTGAGAAACTGAAATATAAAACCTGCAATTCTCCTCCCTACCCTACCTACTCTTAATTTTCTAAGGAAGATGGTATCGGGAGGCTATGCAAGGAAAAATGTTCCTCCTCGCAACAGCCGAAAAAAGGGTGTCGACCCAGCTACCTTGGTGGAAGGACAGCTGGATTGGGGATATAAAATATCAAATGAGCGACTACGGGAAATCACAAAATCCAGTTCCATCCAGGATTATTGCCATGTCCAACATCTTAAATATAAACCCTAGTCAAACATTTGCCACAGACCAGAATATACATGGCCCATGTTTGTCACATGGAGAATGACGCCCTCCAGAAACAGGYCCTTTTTGATAAAAGGACGTCCACCTCAAGAGTTTGGAAGCGAGTTGAGGATCTCCTCCAGATAGATCCAATGCAAGCCAGAAAAATGATGATGGACAAAACCAAGTAAACATCTGCTCAGAGGACGTTTCCCGGARCAGTTGTGCCCTAAGGCCAGGGAMGGGCCGAGAGGGAAAAACTGATRATGATGATGACTTTTCCTACCCCGTGAAAAAGATGCATTCCATACGACCACTGAGAAAGAAAAAAGCTTTTACTTCACTATTTAGGTGCATAGGGATGAAACGCTTACATGAATAATATGAAATTCCTAACTGCCATGGGAAGTAAAGGCCAAAAAAACTCTAAGACTCGCGAATAAAAAAAAAKAATAATCTCCAATAAAACAAGATTTTTTTCCCTCTATTTTATCTTCACCTTTCATTTTCATCTAAAATAAAGAATGGCAGCTTCGCTTTTAGGCAYGCCCAAATTTATATACTTTTATGCATATGTTGAAGTCGGACACTGCAGGCAAGCTTCAGTTTCTCCTGTACGTAAAAACTATGATCAAAATGATCAGTTCCCTTACATGCAAATATTCACTGCAGTCTGCTGAGTAAGCTGCACAATTCTTACCATCCATGAGTGGCAATTCAGAGAAACGGTTGTGATTCCTCATAATGTCTAAAAAATAAGCTTACGAAGGAGAGGCACTACCACATCCACTGCCACATTTCGAAAAAAAGGCAAAAATGCTTTCCAGGTCGAGGAAAGAAAGACCTCTTGCTGTTCATCGTTCAAAGGAATCGAAGTACAAAATTCGTCATCATTATCATCGTCTCTCCTTACATTAACRGTTGAACCACCGACCATCAGCCGGTTCTTGTTGATGCGGTACATGCCAATTCTTGCAGAGGACTTCATCACATCGTAACACTGGATCCACAGATCAGAAATCCAGTTTTCTCGATCAGGTAGACGCATGGACTTTACCTTGTTCCCCACAGGAATCACTGGAATACAGACTTYTGGGTCGACGCCAACTGATGCAAAGTATTCATTAAACTGCTKYTTCCATTCTTCAAGCTGCGATTGGAAATATYYTAACTCGTCTTCCCCATCAGGGTCTTCAACCTTGTTYGCAAAAGTCARAGCCACTACAGCATGCTTCCACGCGTCCTTCCCAAACTCSTCTGTCAGTATTCGRATGGCTTTCTTGTCTGCGTCATAGAATCTTGTCTCGTCCATYCTGACACAGTAGATCATCARAGCAATGTCCTTGATGTTGTCCTTCATGTCTTGTATGTACTGGTCTTCATTACTCGTTCCGTCTTGTAAYCCAGGAGAATCCCATACTTTAATGGCGACATTTTCGATGGTAACGTCATAAAACTGTACTCTGCATTTACATGGGTCTTTCTTTATATGGCCTTCTTTAGCGACTTTTCGACCAACGAGAGCATTCACAAGACGAGATTTTCCAACCCCAGTTTTACCAGTGATCAATAGGTTTAAGTCCAGGGGATTCTCGCTAGAATTCCAGTTTTTGAAAAGATTTTCAATTTTCTGAAGCTGACCATCTGATAACGCTTCAGCCATATTTTCCTAACGAGCAATAACTTTATTTAAGACTGAATATATATTCTGGAACCCATATACTTGGAAGTCAACAGGGTCAATATACAAAAAGGGCATGCGCGTTGCATACTTGACATTCTTAGAATTCATACGTTTGATGTTTGTCATCTTGGAGAGACAGAAGGAAAACAGAGGATGAACATATAAACGTATTACTCGTACATCGAGGCAAGGGCACTAGGACACCGAATGTGGTTGAATTTTATAGGTTTTCAGTTTTCCCTTTCGATTATTTGAATTAAAATAACGTTATACTTGTTTACTTATCTTGTGTCCGTGTTCCTTCGTTCGCTGTCATAATGCAGACGTTTTCTTCCAAAGGTCAAACGGTTTGAATAGCAGATGAGCGTTACTTCTTTAACGGCCGTTCCGTACTTGACTCTGTACTATACCAACAATAACGCGACCGCGCGATGCTCCTTACGTCAGTAATATTCAACCGTCCAGAGTTAATATGGTTAATCAAATTCACCTTAAGTTCCATATAGAGCCCCGGGGTAGGCTACTAGCCTGATTGCCATTGTTCTCTCGTCTGCTCGATTAATCCAATTATTTTAAAAGGTGGAGTGGCAAACCACTGATTAACTCTGGACGGTTGAATATTACTCACGTTATAAGGAGCATCGCGCGGTCGCGTATACTGTCAGTATAATAGAAACTAAACTATTAAATACTATTAAATCAGGGGCGGATCCRGGAATTTGTTCAGGGAGGGGTGCTGCGCACAAAGGTAACCCAGGGAGGGGTGYACCCCTTAGAATCAAAGGGAAAAGCATTATTTTGTATTGGTTATCTTCGAAGTATTGGGTCACAAAGTCGAACCAGGGAGGGGTGCGCACCCCCTGTACCCCTCCCCTGGATCCGCCACTGTTAAATTTAACTATGCAAAGTTTATCAATTTATCATAACCYTTTTATTCCAAACAAGAACCTCAGCTTGACAAGAAATAATTAAAAATGAATGTTGGTAATGAAATGAAWTGTTTTAGGAGATATTTTTGAAGATAAAAATCGGTTCAAGGTTTGTCATCTTAGTCGCCGGGTATGTGATTTCAAGCCGATCGGTTGATTGGATGCTCGATGTTCTAGCTCAATATCAGCATCGAGTCTGTGTTG